AAAAAAAAAAATATATATATTTGTTACACCACAAGAACACAAAACATAACAACAAAAAATAATAACTTTTGGAAAGTTCTCAGTGGTGAACGACCACTTCCTGTCTCATGACACGCACCCACAGTCGCATATGCACAGTGCTCGGCTGACTTCCTCTTAAACTAAAGGAAACTTTTTTAGTGTTTTACGTTGAAAATAGGGCAGAATGGTTAGCACATTCTTTTCTTTCATCCTCTCATAATTAGCTTATATGATACACAAATGAAAACAACGGGAAGTGACATCAGCCCGTCCAATCACAGGAATATGTCCTCTTTATTTCTGCAAAGCGCAGCGTCATGTTAGGAAAAATGTTCAGTTTTATATTTGAGTGCATTTAAGTCTTTTTTTCCCTTCGCCCTTGTTGTGCTTTCACTTTTGTATTTTTTTTTTATCCATTAGGTTACCTGAAGTAATGCTATTTTGTTTTGTTGTCGTGTTTTCTGTGCTTTCTTTCTCCTAAATAATGTCAGAGTTCCTCCACAGTTCCTACTGAAAAGAAGACTTTACTTTGAGAAGTTCAAATCTGTTCCAGTGTCACTACAGATGTAACATTAACAGATGCATTCATATTAAGAGTATACTGTTCAGGGCAATAACTACATTTCAATTTTATACAAATTGCAAATCCCGGGATTATATTACAGCTTGTATTTGAGAAAGTTTAGATGTACATTTTCTCACTTACACTTTTCTAGGCTATACAGTGCAATCTGAGTACTTTCCCCTACTTACTATTGCAAGGTTAAATCTTGTTAATATATGATTGATTCAGCAATATCTTAACTGGTGTTCAGTATACTGATACTTCAACTACATTCATATTGGGATAGTGATTTAAGTATTTTCTTTTGCCATTTCTGTGTAGTTAACTTCCAAAATAAAACCATTTTGAGCCATAAAAGAAAAATAATGATTATTGCTTTCCTACTGTAATTGCACTTCCATTTTCTTTCTTCCTGACACTGCGCAAGCATGCTGAGTCAATGCATTCATCAGCCCGCCAATGTCACATACTTGACCTTTTTGTAGGGAAGTGCAAGGACAACTTCATCAAGAATAAACCTCGATGAATAAATGAATAAATCCTCTTAAAGGAATAAAGACAGTGGACATACTTGAGCAAATACATGACACTTATTTTACCGATGCGTGAATTGTTGTATTAATATTATTCATCTATTCATTTTCTTAACCTCTCAGCCAATACAAGGTTGGACTAGACTGGCACATAAGCCACCTGACATTGCACTATAGGCAGGTTACACCATAGGCAGGTCATCAATGGATCACGTGCTCAACCATCTCCATCTACTTCATTTACGGCAAAGTGACTGAATTACTTTGAACAAATCAATTAACAACATTTAAAATTAACAACACTGTCTATCTTTTTTCACAGAGCTGAGAAGCAGAAAACATTATTATAATTCGACAAATCCACATGTCCTAAAGCTAAACTTGTTATATAGGCTAGCAAAGTTTACTGTATACACACAATGAATTTTACATGTGTATACAATCCTTGACACATCAATATGGCTCCACAACAAAGTAATTTCACACACAGGCAATCTTTCAATTACACAGACAGCTGGGACACACCGATAACAAGGTTAAATAAATGTGTGCTTATGTCCTCAGAGCCTGAATGCTGAAAGCTTATTCATATATCAGTGGAGAACAGAAGCATCTATAATTACTTAGTCTAAGAAACCAGAGCAGTATATTATAAAGCCATGCATGACCACATATGAAAGATGTTACGTTTAGGAGCTGGCAAACCAAAACTGTCAAACTTTTTAAGAACTAAATGTTTGCCATTTTATCAGCTAAACTTGCATTTATCTTTTTGTGATGCTCTATGTTTATTTTTTCCCCTTTCTGTTTCTTTGCAAGCTTTCAGAGCTGTGGCTCAGACCAAACAAGCAGGGATTGTTTCTTACCAACACCTTCAAAAAGACCTGTTGCATAAAGTCCCTCTGAAATATAGCAATCCATATCTACGGCTTTCCCTTATATGTCTCTTTTTGCTCTGCTATTTTTTTTTTATCTTTTATAGTGAGACCTCTCAATAGGTTTGTCAGAATAGTTTGTTCTACTGAGTGCCCCATCTGGTATTGAATTGATGCCCTCAATTGATGTAGTGAGAAATGGTCAGTACTCAAGTGTTAGATACTCATCACACACCCAACAATAGTGATAAAGAGCTGCTTTTAAAAGAGAAATATAGAGTGAGCGTGTTTAAGAGTGAGAGAGAGCAGGAAATGAAGGAAGAGAAAAGGCAGCAAATGATTACTTGATGTTTTTTATGTTGATGTGTCAGCAGGTAGTTCTCTGAGGTGACATTGCATCACAAAAGGCAAAAGCAAGATGAATTGGTAATTGAGTGACAGCACATGACTTTAGAAGTATTAATACTTTTAATCTTTTAATTTTGTTTAGGGTCAATTTGGCATAAAAAACAATAGACGGATGAAT